TGGAGGTTGCTGTGAGCTGTAATGCCACGGCACTCTACCCAGGGGGACAGCTTGAGGCTCTGTCTCAAAAAAAACAAACAAACAAAAAAAAAAACAATGAAGTTCAAAAGGAAGATAGTTTTAAATTTAGATTTTTTTTTTTTGTTATTGTTGAGACAAGAGTTCCACCCTAAGACTCTGGCTTGTGGGCATCCCACTGCCTCAGCCTTTGGAAGCCACTGGGATTATGGGCACTCGTGGCTGCACTCCAATGGGTTTTTCCATTTTTTTCATGAGTCAGGGTCTCTTTCTCGCTCAGGCAATTCTCAAACTCCTGAGCTCATGCAATTCTCCCTCCTCAGCCTCCCACAGTGCTGGGATTACAGGCGTGAGCCACCACACCCAGCTTAAATTTAGATTTTTCAAAGATCACTCTAAGCTATTGCATGGAGAGTTAATTTAAAGAAGAGAATAATTAGAAAATTACTATGTTTGTCCATAAAAGAAATTAAAACAGCCCCTAATAAGTTAATGGTAGTGGAGCCAGAGAGAAGTGGATGAATTTTAGATGTATTTAGAAGAACACATAAAATGTGATGATGGATTGACTATCAAGGTAAGGAAAAGTGAGGAGTCGAGGGATCTCAGGTTTAGAGCTTTAGTAACTGGGTAAATGGTGATACCATTTATTTGGATAGAAAGACCAGCAAAAAACCAAAATCATGACTATGTAAGGAAAAGTAAGGAGTCGAGGGATCTCAGGTTTAGAGCTTTAGTAACTGGGTAAATGGTGATACCATTTATTTGGATGGAAAGACCAGCAAAAAACCAAAATCATGACTATGTCAAGTGAATAATTGAATATATAGAGCTAGAGGTTACAGGATGAATTAGAGATTACTGGCATTTTAGGAGTCATCAGCACACAAATGGTATTTCAAAGAGAAGGGAAAATGATCACTGCAGAACAAAGTATAGATGGCCTGAGACAGAAGAGGGCCCAGGCACAAGAACTACAACATTAATAAAGATTTGTTTAAGGGCCAAATGCTTATTAAGTGATCTGGCTCAATGATATTTTCTCTAATTGTATACAGCTCCCTCTTAACTAAACAAAAGAAAGCTATCTTCCACAGCCAAAGGGTTCTCAAATGGTAGCATTTAACTTTTGAAATAACTCCATATTTTGGTTCTAGAAATAATTAACTTGAATCCTAACAGACTTATTATTTTATCTTTGGATACCTGTTAATAAATTTGTCAAGCTGTATGTAAAACTCCTATGAAGGTATAAAAAGCCATAAACAGGCTGATGGCAAAAATAGACCTGGTGGCTGAGCTCCTCTGGTCTGCTGGTGCTGCACACTGGGCTGAGGCTCTTCTGCAATGTTTTACCTGGCTGAAGCATTGTCAGATTTTTATATTCCTGTCTCTGAAATGCCTGAACACAAAATCCAGTCATCTGGGGGCCTACTGCAGATAACAATGAAGATGGTACCAAAAATACCTTCTTCTTTGGTTACAGACTTGGCTCCCAAAGTATTTATAATTTCCTTTAAGTTGGTAACGGACCCCTCCCCCCATTGTAATTGTGCTGACAACACTTTGGAAGTTTATCAACATCAAGTGGTGGTGGCTAATATCTTTGAGTCAGAAATCAACTTATTGCTATCAGATGACAAAGTAGAAAAAGGCATAGAGATAAAAGAGAAGATAGTGGATAGGGCAGCACCTGTGGCTCAAAGGAGTAGAACACCGGCCCCAAATACCAGAAGTGTCAGGTTCAAATCCAGCCCCAACCAAAAACTGCAAAAAAAAAAAAAAAAAAAAAAAGTAGTGGATTACCTGCAGTCTCAACACACAACTTTTATACGTAACAAAAACTGAAATAAAGCCCTTATAGGATCAAATATTGCTCAAGACTCTTACAGATGATGAGAACTGTAATAAATTCTTTGCTTTCATACGGACAGAAAAAAATGAAGGAAAGGGAAAAAGTAATGTGCAAGCAAATATAGTTTGGGATTTGTCTTTTACTGACCAAGGTACCTAATACACTAACCTGAATGTCATTTTGATTTTGAAATTGCACACTAGAACTGTTTCTCACAGGCAGTGCCTGTGGCTCAGTGAGTAGGGCACTGGCCTATCAAGGGTGGTGGGTTCCAACCTGGTCCTGGCCAAACTGCAAACAAAAAATAGCTGGGCATTGTGGCAGGCGCCTGTAGTCCCAGCTACTCAGGAGACTGAGGCAAGAGAATCGCCTAAGCCCAAGAGCTAGAGGTTGCTGTGAGCTATAACATCAAAGCACTCTACGGAGGGTGACAAGATGAAACTCTGTCTCTAGGAAAAAAAAAAAAGAAATTACTGGGAATTATATAATTCACAGTAATTATATAATTAATTATATATATATATAAAATACCTTTAACAAAAGAAATTATTGGGTATTATATATTCCTGAAATCTACATAGGGGCCTGAATATTAGCTTTCTTCATACTATGAAGAGAAGATTATGGATGCATGACTGGTCATGCTTTGAAGATCAAATATTTATTAAGGCTCAGTTCCTGTAGCTCAGTGGTTAGGGTGCCAGCCACATACACGGGAGCTGCTGAATTTAAACCCAGCCCTGGCCTGCCAAACAACAATGACAACTACAACCAAAAAATAGCCAGGCATTGTGGCAGGCACCTGTAGTCCCAGCTACTTGGGAGGCTG